ATAGAAGACAGGTGCCTGGTTGTAAGATTGGAAATCTGTGACTAGTGATGTTCCACAGGGATCAGTGCTTGGAGCCATGTTGTTTATATTTATAAATAAATGATTTGGACGAGAATATAGTAATCAGGCCACCTAAGTTTGCAGACGACACAAAGATTGGGGGAGCTACAGATAGTGAGGACGATTGCCAGAGAATACAGCAGGATACAGACAAGCTAGAGACTTGGGTAGAGAAATGGGAGATAGAGTTTAATCTGGACAAATGCAAGGTGATGCGTTTTGGGAGATGTGCTGCAGGAGCGGAGTATACAGTAAATGGCCGAACCCTTAATAGCATCAACATACAGAAGGATCTAGGTGTACAGAACAACAGTTCCCCGAAAATGGCAACAAAAGTGGATAAGGTGGTCAAGAAGGCATATGGCATGCTTGCCTTCATTGGTCAGGGCATAGAGTATAAAAATTAGCAAGCCATGTTGCAACTGCACAGAACTTTAGTTCAGCCGCATTTGGAATGCTGTATACAGTCCTGGTTGCACACTACTAGAATGATGTGGTAGTTTTACAGACAGTACAGAAAAAGTTTTCCATGATGATGGAGGGTATTAGCTACGAGGACAGATTGAAAAAATTTGGTTTGTTTTCACTTGAACATTGATGGATGATTGCAACCTAATAGAGGTTTACAAAATTATAAGAGGCATGGATAGAATGGATAGTCAGAGTCTTCTTTTCCCCAAGCTAGAAATATAAGTTACTAGGGGAAATGGACTAAGGTAAAAGGAGGTAAGTTTATTAAAAAAAAGCTTCTCCTTTAAATATTAGATGGTAAATGCATCGAATGCACTGCCAGAGGTGGTCGTGCAGGCAGATATAATAGCAATGTCTACGAAGCATCTTGACAGATATACTGTATGAATAGACAGGGAATAGAGGGATACATACAACATAAAGCCAAAAGGTTTCTAGCTTTGAAAAGCATTTGTGAGTGCAGTCTTGGTTGGGTGAAGGGCCTGTTCCTGTGCTATACTGTTCTTTGTTCTATGACAGGAAACAAGGAGAGTGAAAGCACGCATTCCAACGTTCCCTGCTTCAAAGAAAAGAACCCATGCTTATCCAGCCTCTCTTCATAGCTAAAGTGCTCCATGCCAGGCAACATCCTAGCGAATCTCCTCTGCACCTCCTCCAGTTCAATCACAAATTCTCTACATGTAGATATCAGAACTGCACACAGTACTTCAGATGCGGCCTAACCAAAACCCTGTTGAGATCCAACAAGACCTTCTGGCTCTTATAATTTATGCTTTGACTGATAAAGGCAAGTGTTGCGAATGCCTTAACTACCCTATTAATTACCCTGCCACCTTCAGGAATTTGGACAAGCACCTTAAGATCCTCTTGTGCTCTTAAGCTTCCTCATGTTGCGCCATGCAAAGTACTCCCTCATCTTGTTACTTCATCCAAAGTGCGTCACGTCACACTCATCAGGTTTTAAATCCTGTCACTGATCTGTCCAAATCGTTATATTCTTCAGTAACCCAATAACTTCTTCCTCACCCAGCCAATCTTCATGGTATCTGTAAATATATTCATCATCCCTCCCATTTTCTTATCTGCAACTATGAAAATAGCACCAGAAGAGCATTCGTCACCACAGTGCCCTGCACGAGTTGCAGAATATAAGTCTGGATGTCACAAACATCGGGTGAAGTGGATGCCAGAAAATTAGTATTTGAAAATGGAGGTTTTTGGATTAGGGAATGAACTGCATGTTCCAGGTTTGACAAGAGTTCCCTGAAATCTGGGATTAGTGGCATATATAATTGGTAGGATTGATCTAAACTGCAGGAACAAATTGCTGCAGCTGCTGGAATCTGTACTAAAAATAACAAATGCTGGAGATCACAGCGGGTCAAACAGTATCCATGGAGAGAGAGAGCAAGCTGACATTTAGTCTAGGTGACTCTTCATCAGAGCAAATTGCCAGCCTGTTTCAAAAATCTCTCAATTGATTCACTATCTCCTTTAATGTTAGGAGGATTGTAGAAACAACAGCAAGAGTAGACCGATCAAGCTTGCTCTGCCATTCAGTATGATCATGGCTGAACTCAATCTTAATGCCATATTCCAGCTCGATCCTCATATCCCTCATTTGTCTAGAAATTGATTCCTTCCTTAAATTATTCAGTCACTTCGCCTCTTCTGCCTTTTGTAGTACAAAATTTTACAAGTTCACCACTCTGAGTGAAGAACTTTCTCAATTCTCCTAGACTCTCTACCCCATATCCCAGACTGTGATCCTCGTTTTTAGACTGTCCCAGCCAGGGGAATATCACACAGGGTGGCGTTCTTCTTTGTAGGCATGACAGAAGTTGATTGAGTGCTGAGCGAAGGGAAAGTGTCTGGCTGTGTCTAGTATTATGAGGTGGTGGAATCTTGGAAAGTTCAAGAGGTACTTTAAGTCTCATTATGGGAAACTCGTGCACAAAAGTACCGCAAGTGATCTTGTCAATTGAGAGCATTGGGGCCAGGATGTGATCAGCACTGTGTTCAAGAGTTGGTCATCTCTGGATGCTGGAACATGGGATTTTTTTTTTGTGACAGGGTTTCTAAATCCTGAAAGTTGCCAGGATCATTTATGGTACCTCAGAGAATGAAGCAAGAAGGTGTCACACCAGCTCGAAAAATGAAAGATGCAGCAATTCTGGGAACCTGCAATTGGGTTGGGAAATGTAAGGCAATGCTTTTCAATTCAGCACCTTAAACTCTTCTCCCAAGATTTTAAAAATTCCACTAACCTGTTTAGTCATTGATTCCAACTAGGTCTATGGCTTTGGAGTATTTTCATTTTTGTTTTAAGGTTTTTGGCCAGACAACAGGGCATTACTTTCAAGTCAAACAAAGTCTATTCACTTTAGAATATTTTAGTCTACCGTTACCCTTATTCTTGTAATCCACATGGTTTTCATCTCCTTGGAAATTCTCCTACCTCATTGTTCTACTTTCATAATTATCACCACGAAGGAAAGGCTACTAAAAAAAATTACTACAACTAAAATCTGAGAAGCCCTGAATGCCTGCATCCAAGGGTGTTGATAGTAGATGTATGGTTTTAATTTTACAAAATTCCTTGGATTCTGGAAAAGGTTCCATCAGATTGGAAAACAGCAAATACGGATGTCACCATTCAACAAAAGTGGGAGACAGAAAAATAGGAAACTATCAATTAGTCAACCTAAAATGATGGAAATTAGTGAGGAGGTTAGGGCAGAGTACTAAGAAAGTCTTATTCTAATAGGCAGTCAACAGTTTTGGGAGGGAAATCATGTTTGTTTATTAGAGCTCTTTGAGAAAGTAACCAAGTGAATAAAGGAGAACCTGCGTATGTGCTGCACTTAATTTCCCAAAGGTATCTGACACATTTACTATGCAAAGTAAGAGCTCACAGTGTAGGGCGGGTCACGGTTTTACAGATAAAGGATTGGTTGATAAATAGGAAACAGACAGTGGGAATAAACGGATCATCTTCAGATTGGCAAGCTCTGATGTCAGTAGAATGGAGTACCATATCAGTGTGGGCCCTCAATTATTTAGGACTTATATCAATAACTCAGATGGAGGAACAAAATATATGACTGTCTCACTAGCAAATTTAGCATAGGCGGAAAAGCAAGTTGTGAACAGAATATAAGGAGTCAGCAGAGGCATCTGGACAAGTTAGGTGAGTAAAGTATTGTAGGAAAATGCAAACTTGTCCACTTTGACAGGAAGAAATAGAAAAACAATCAATCATTTAAATAGAGAAACTGCAAAATTTGTTGGCGCTGATGCAAAGTAGCCTGGGAAAGGAGTCACAAGAATTAGTACAGAGGTACAGGATAAAGATAGACAAATGAAATGTTGCCATTTATTGCAAGGCAAATGGAATATAAAAGTAGTGATGTTTTGCTATAATTGCATACAGCACTGAAGACTTCAAATCTAGAGTATCATATGCAGTTTTTGTCTTCCTATTTAAGAAAGGATGCAAATGCATTAGAAGCAATTGAAAGGCAGTTCACCAAACTGATACCACAGTTGAAAGGATTATCTTATGAGGAAAGCTTAGACAGGATGGGCCATATCGATTGGAGTTTAGAAAAACAAGTGAATACCTTATTGATACATGTAAAAGATTATGATGATTTAACAGGATGGATGCTAAAAAGGGGTCTATCTTTAAACGATAAACTCGAACTAAGACACAGAGTTTAAAATATAAAATGATCTATGGTATTTCCCATTTAACTGCTTTCACTTTAATTATTTGCTGTTTCACAATACACCAGGTATTCACGGTACCTTTTAAAAATCACATATATATACACAAGTTTGCTTTTTAAATAAACCATTGTTTTAAGTTAAAACATATGTATTGCAAACTGCCACTAGCACCAAATTCCTGCAAAGGATCAAACTGTCTTTTTGTGTGCTAGCTACCTCACTTGGTCACCTAGTCTCTAGGACTTTCTCCAAGATTTAATTTAAATTAATAGAACAATCTAACCTTCATTCAATTAAATAATCAATTTTTGAATTGGACAATGTTGGCTTCCTTCGTCCTATATTTTACCAAAGCCCCAGCAGGGATTCTAATCCACAGCATTTTGACAAGACTGCTTCACTACTTTCTCTGAAATAGATACACAAGACAAAATTCTTGAAACACAATCTTCAACGAAATGAATTGATGGAAATATTTACTTCCAGTCTGCATTATCAGTAGTGGCAAAAATTTGAAGTTTTATTTGCAGGGAATGCTTCTCTTCTCCTAAAAAAGATATGGTCAGAGAACTCATGATATTGGCATGGGATGTAAATTATGATACGGTTTTTGTTTGGACAGAATTAGTGTTTAAAGCAAGTGGTAATAAGTAAGCAACAATGCATGGCAGTGGTTGAGATACATAAGGAAATCATAAATGTTTAGGTATCATAATGTAACACAGAACAATTCCTACCTTTGCAACGGCTTTGGCAGTTAGATACCAGGTCACAGGCCTGATCATATGCTGTGTACAGTTTCTTAAATGGAGATTCCATTTCCGTCTCTAGATTAGGCATTAATTTTCTTAGCACTTTCAAGTGGACCAAAGCTGTCAATATGCAGTCTAGCCAGCAGAGAGCAGATGTGTTCTTCCACTGAAGAAATAATTGTTCAACCTGTGACCCCACAATTGGAACTTCCAATTTAGTCTGACCAGAATGTTCAGATTCAGTCGGTGGTTCCTTTCTCTTGCCGTATAACTGATCAGGTACCACAGGAACTGCCTTATGAGGGATAACAATGCCATTTCTTTCACTAGAATTAACTGTATTATGATTGCTTCCATTTTCTGAACAAGGGACAAAATTGTCTATTTTATTTAGGTCAGTTTCAACTGGTTGAAATGCTTCCTTGGGTACATCACAAGATTCATTGAAAAAGTCTTTATTATTACAATTAGAAGTTTTCTGTCGTTTCACGTTCCGCTTATGCAGAGGAACTAGTGCAACTGATCCAAATACGCTCTTCGTAGTATGAACTGACGGTCGAGACAAGGTAGGTGAAATGAGGATCTCATTCAATGGTTTACATCCCAAAGGAAAGACACACTAGAAAGAATTTTAAAATTGTTAAAAGCAGAAATATATAACAAATGCAAATATCACCTGTGTGTGTCTAATTTTATTCCTTAAAATCTTACTACAAACATATTAATCAGAGAGCTGGAAAACTGGATTGCTTTCCAAACTGCAGATCAATGGCATGGTAACTATATAAAGGGCATGTAGACTCTGCTGAGAGAGTGCAGGTGGAATGAATTACTAGGGTTGGCTAACAATGTTGAATAACCTCTGAATTAATAAATTAATTAATTGCTCAGATTATTAACTACTTGATAACATGAAAAATATTTCAGGAGAGATTCCTGAAAACTAATATACTGGCATCTAAACTTTCCCATACCTGTGGACTTTCACAAAGAAGAATGGATTCCTCTAAACTTATATAGTATCGGCGCAAAGTTTTATTTTCTCCTTTTGCAGCACAGGCAGGACAGTATTGCTCTTGACTGAGTGAGGTATTTTCAGAAAACTGCAGAGAAGGAAAATGGAGCAAGTTACCAGTCATGTATACAATTCCGGGTTTTTAAAAAAATATTTAAACGGTTTTATACCATCCATCTGCTCATGACCAGATAGAAACTTAAAATACAATTTCAGATAGTTTTTTTTCACCTTCAGTAGAGAAGATGAAAAGCACACTTAAGGACAGTTTTATGCTGAACAAGAATGAAAAAGAATACTGTTTTTGCCAAGTTTACTTTCATATTCAAGTTTTTGTTGGAGAATAAAACTCAGTGATCTCTGGTGCATGTTTCAGCACTACTCAGGAGTTAGAGATTAGCATGATAACCATGTTTTCACTTCATATAAATCTTTCGCCATAGCACTTTGTGCAAGATTTCCGTGTCACTTTGAGTTTAGAATGCTCCACCTTTCTTCACCTTTTGAAGACAATAGATGCAAAATAATTTGAAAATATAATAAAATTTAGAACTTTGCTCAGTTTAGAGAGGAATAAACAGTTTTACTGACTTTTCCCAAATACCCCACCGTGTGGCTGGAAGATACATTTATATCAGTGCTTGGGCCACTCAGTGGCAAACCAGTCTTGGTCTTCTGTTTATCCGCCATGCTCAGCCAAAGGCTAACCTTTACCATCTCACCGGTGATTTGAAGTATACCATCAGGAACTTCTCAGAATACGCTGTTAAAATAAAAGTTGAAGATGTTGTTAGTGAATATTTAAAACCTTGATTTTTGCTAAATTGTGGGCAAACTGCAAACTTGTAACATACAACACCCATAGCTAGTATCATACTATAAACGTACATCTAATAAGCTCAAAATTATATGTAGCTAACAATGTTTTAAGCATCAATGCCAGATCAGGGAAACTGGTAGCTACCATCGGCTCACCAGTGTTAAATTGAGATTAATTTTACTGCTGTTTTAAGGAGAGGTGTAGCTGAGTTCTTGCACAGTCAATAAAAATGATCTAACCATAGCGTCTATCATTAGTTTTACTTGCACAGGAGACATTATAATGCTCACAACCTAAATATTTAAATTTAAAAATTAAACCTTAGTGAAGCATTGCACTTAAGAGCAGACAGACAAACTTTATTTTGATTTTTTTTAAAAACAGCCTGATTGCAGAAAGTTCACACTGTGTTGAGTACAATTCTATAAGTAATGCTTTTAAAGATATCTGTGCAAATATCTTTTCAAAATGGAGAAGAAAGCCTCAAATTAGCACGATTTAAAACTGAAAGGGAAGTAAAATATTAACAGACTTGCCTCAACAGGGCAAGTCTGATACCCACCTAGCCTATGGCAATTAATTCCATGGCTTTCATAACAGAACTGGTGGTCTTTGAAATCAAAATCTTGAACATGTTTGAATAGATTTAAATGTGGGTGCAAGGGAACAGAAAAATCACAATCCACTGTTAGCACTTTCTTCTCAATAGCTACAACATATCTTGCTTCTTCCAAAGAAGGTTGGCAAAATTCTTTACAATTACTCCTTCACACTAAAGACAGAACACAATAATGTGTACTAATCTGTCAGTCTTGAGCTAATTGAATCATAGAATCATTACAGTGTGAAAGCAGGCTATTTGGCTCATTGAGTCCACACCAACCCATCCCCTACCCTATCCCTGTAATCCTGCATTTCCTATGACTAATCCATCTAGCCCTGCATATCCCTGGACAGCAAAATGGCCAGTCCATTTAACCTGTACATCTTTGGACTGTTGGAGGAAATTGGATCACCTGGAGGAAACCCATGCAGACATGGGGTGAATGTGCAAATACCACACAGACAGTTGCCAAAGGGTGGAATCGAACCCGGGTCCCTGGCGCAATGAGGGAGTAATGTTAACCACTAAGCCACCATGCCGCCCAATTGGTCAAAGTGTTGCTAAATTGGTGATGGCAGGAGAGTGAATTATCACAGAAGCGTTACGCTGCAGGAGGCAATGATTCAGCCAAAAGAGTCTACATTGGCTCTCCAAATAACCATCAGGACTCAGTGCCATTCTCCTGCTTTTTCCTCAAACTACTACTCACTATTTAAAGGGAAACAATAATCCAATGAAATAAAATGAAATCCAATGACTATAATTAGGCAGGATTATTATGCAATGAATTCCATTAACAAGTGCACTTTTGGACATTGCCGAGAACAGGAGTAAATGTGTTCAAACACGCTGATGACATTTGCTGTCTGACTTCATCCCAGTTAGGTACCACAACACTCGTACCTAATTATCGGAGTCAACATTTTCTAGATGCAAGTAGAAAATATGAGACGGGGGGTGCAGAAAAGAGCAGAGAAGAGGAGAAAAATGAAGAATCTATGCGCAGCTGCTTATCTGCTTAATTTTAATTCAACAATAAAGAAAACGTTGGACAAAATTAGAAGTATTAGTGCTCAGTGAAACTGAAGCCTTGTAAGATCAGGTCCAATGCAGAGTAAAAGTTCTTTAAAAATAAAGTAATTGTTTATAAATGGAAATTGATCATGTTAGAATTTTATAAATCACCAGTTAGGCTTCAGAAGGCACATTGAACAAATCAGAGCACCACATTTTGAGAAGGATGCAAAAGCCTTAGAAAGAGTACAGCAGAAGTTTACCAGAATATTACAAAGGATGAGAAACTTACATTATGAAAGTAAGTTGCTAATGTTGGGGCTTTTCTCCTTGGAACAGCAATGACTGAGGTCACTGTAGAGGTTTTGATGCAGTAGATACATAAAACTATTGCTTCATAGAAGTGGGCCATAACCTGAAGTGACTGTTAAAATCATTTGCAAAAGATACAGAGGTAAGATGAAAACTGTTTTCAGTGCATTGTTACCAGCTGGTACACTCAGTCTGAAACGACAGCAGCAGCTGATTCAATAAGCAAATGTGAGTTGGCCAGATACTTGATGAAGTACTGACAGGGTTGTATATTGAAAGAAAATTGTGGAACTAAGCATGGTGGCACTTTCAAAGTGCCAATATAAACATAATTGATGAAACGCATCGTTCCGTGCTGCAAGTTTCTAGGATTTTGATTCTACTCGGACATGCATGACACCATTGTGAATTTACCATTTCCCACATCAAACCACATTTAAAACTATAATACAAAACATGGAACCATACTTCAAAGACCATCAACAGCTTATCACATTTTAAAAACCCTTCAACGATATCTATTTTGCCTTACATTTATTGTAGACAGCTTATACTAGGATACTATTTTTAAAAGAAATATTGGCACATTCGTAAAGGCCAATATTTTAAATAGGGTTTCACTGAAAATCATGAACAAAGCCAATACTATATAGGGTTCAAATTTAACACCGAAAAGAATGTTCTAATAGACTGATATTAGTAATTTATGCAGGAACTACACATCACTAAGATTGTTTTACAACTGTAATTGTAATAACCAAAACTGAGTTTTAAAAATCACTCACCTTGTTTAAGAAATGCAATAATCTGTCATCTGTATCCTAATTCCATCCAATTGCAGTCAGAATACCAAATTGTGCTCCCACTGTTAGGTCAGATATCAAGGAACCACTAATCAACCCAACTTTGTGTTTTTTAAACCATAATGGGTACACTTTTGAGAAAACAAAGTTTTATGCCGTACAGAAATGCCCAGTCAGCACACTGTAAAGAAAAATGTACAAGACCTCACACCAACCTCTACCTGTTCACCCTTGCCCCCTTGATTTGCTGTTATGTCCAACAGGCCTACTCTGAATATTTTAGATCCACAGACCATATTTGAAGTTTTTTAAAAATTAACATCACTTTCAATTTTTTAAAATTCATTTACAGAATGAGGGCATCCATTCTTAATTGCCCAAAGAGTGCTGTGGGTCTGGAATTACATGTAGTGCAGACAAGGAAAGATTGGCAGTTTCCTTCCCTAAAGGACATTAGCAGATGAGATGGGTTTTTCCAACAATCGACGATGGTTTCATGATCATCAGACTCTTACTTCCAGGTTTGTATTGAATTCAAATTCTATCATCTGCTATGGGGGATTTGAACCTGGGTCTCTGGATTAACAGTCCAGTGATAATACCACTAGGTCATTGCTTCCCCCATATTTAAAATTATTTTAAAATGGACTAGAAAGACAAGGCTGTTGAGCTATTTTATTTGAAAGATTTGTCATTCCTAAATTCGAAATTTTTATTTTGCCTCGGGGCAGGTTCTTCCACCAATAGGAAGCAAAATCTGAAGTCACAGATTTGGTAAACACTATTGATGCTATTCAGGAAAAGAGTTCTTGTTGCAGGGCTCCAAGTGTAATATATAAAACAATAATTCAGACACAAAGCACAGGTCAGTTTTATTAAAACATGACCTTGACCCTGCTCTAAAGATTTGCCGTAAAAACTGGTTGTTTGTAAACTAGTTAATATACACCCCTAGATTTTTTTTTAATTATAGACTTTGCAATTCTAAAGAATGAAGACATCAAAAATATGTGCATTGAGAGAAGGTACCACAATTTCTACATATTTCAACTCGCCATGATATCATAAAGTGTTACAATACAACAAACAGCAAAGTCAGCAAAATAAATTTCAACGGGCAAAACACTCCTGAACAAGTATATATGCTCCGATCAGGCCAGAAGAAAGTGAACTAAAATTTAGCAGTGGAGGATTTTCAACAACTAAACTATTTTAATTAAAAAAACCATTGTTTTAAAACTTTAGGTGAGTTTCTATGCTTCAGGACACCCATGCTACGGACCAATTGTTCGAAACAGAACAAATGAACTGCTCAAGTCGGTAATCAGAATTAGACTTCCCAAGGCCCTCTGCTTTAAAGTGGTAAATATCAACAGACAGCAACCGTGTAGAACACAACATGACCAACACGGAAAAGGAGATTAGTACAATGTTATTAAATTCAAAAGACGGCCAATCTTTGGGCATTGCAAATAAATTTCTTGCAAGTATACATCACAGAGCTGTTCATGATGCAGGAAGCGGCCATTTGGCCGATCACGTCTGCACCAGAATGCAGAATGGATAAACGTCTGCAGGCTACAATTGTACAGTATACTAAATTACTAAATATAATGGTATTGAATTAGAAATCTTTCTGCCAGATATTGGCAAGTAATAGATCCTGAACTGTTTATATAGATTTAAAAAATACTTTATGACTTTTGTTTTCAAAGATTAAAAATAGAAAAAAGCCTTTGTATGAGACACAAATATACAAATGTGAAAAATCCAGATACACTAAACCTTGTAGTTAGGTTATTTTTAGACTGACGATCATACCTCAGCCACAAGATCCAAGAACTCACATTCAATCATGGTCCATGCTGAATTTGACAAAATCAGCAAGTGATTAGGAAGACAATTGGGATGATATATTTAATTGCAATGGAAATGGAACATACAAGTAGGAATGCTTTGCATCAGATGTAGAGAGCACCGGTAAAGCCACATCGGGAATACTGTATATAGTTGCAGTTTCCTTATTTAAAAAAAAGAGAGTCAACGATGTCAGAGACATAGTTCAGAGAAGGTGTACATGACTGATATCTCGATTGGGGCCTCTCTTATGAGGAAAAGTTGGACTAGCTGGGCATGTAATCATTGCAGCTCAGAAAAATCAGAAGTGATTTTCGTGAAATGCAAGATCCTAAGAGGAACTCACAGGGTTAATTTTGAAAGAACGTTTCCCCTGGGAGAGGGATCAGAACAAGGGAAAACTGTTTAAGTATAAGATTTCGTATTTAAGATGGAGAAGAGATTAATTTTCTTCCTCAGACATTGAGCATCAATGGAACTTTCTTTCACCAAAGAGCAAAGGGTCGTTTGAATACCTTTAAGGCTGACTTAGATAATATTCTTGATGAACAAGAGAGTCGATAATTATCAATGTGGAGTTCAGGCCACAGTCAGAATTTTTTTAATTCATTCACTGGAAGAGGGCATCGCTGGCTGGGCAGCATTTACTGTCCATCTCTAATTGCCCAGAGTCAACCACACTGCTGTGGGTCTGTAGTCATATCTAGGCCAGACCAGGTAAGGATGGCAGTTTCCTTCCCTAAAGGACATCAGTGAACCAGATGGGTTTTTCCAACAATCAATAATGGATTCATGGTCATCATTAGACTCTACTTCAGATATTTACTGAATTCAAATTCCACCATCTCCCGTGGTGGGATTCAAACCCGCGTCCCCAGAACATTATCTGGGTCTCTGGATTAATGGCCCAGAAATAGTACCACTGGGCCATCGCCTCCCAAATAAGATTAGTGGTGATGAGGCAAGAAGGGCCAAAAGCTCTACTCCTGCTCCTAATTCAAATGTTCAAACTGGGTGGAACAAACTGGGTAGATACAAAACTGGAAAAAAGGGTAGAAGCAATAATTACCATGTTTCATTTGCTATCTAGTGAGGCATATTGGAAAATTCCATGTGTAAATCAGCACTGGGCTGAGTTGGGATGCCCTCTTGGTCCCTGAATCTTAATGGTTGGGTTCTTGCAACTAGATAACAGGTAAAATAAATTTAAAAAACAAGTGCAGGGGACCCTTTAGTATTTACATCCATTTATAAGTGAATCATAAGCTTATGGAAAGAGCAGGTGTGGACACTAAATCT